CCTACACGACGCTCTTCCTATCTGTTTATGTATCTATATATATATATAAACACAGTCCCCTTCTGCTTTTTGACTTCAGGTTTGCCAAAATCCATTTTTACCCAGACACAAGACATAAGTCCTGAAGTAAGAGGTGGTTCACCCTATTTTGTTTTTTCTTCTTTATAAGTTCAGACAAAACTAGAGTTTTGAAATGTAAGAAATCACATTCACCACCTGCAGAGTTGATTATGTTTGTTTCCATTCAACACTAACACTTTTTTTTTAATATATATATATATATATAATTTGTTGTCACAGACGACAATCTCAGCACTGGCAGGATTTTATAGAGAATTACTGAAAAACAGTAAAAAAAAAAAATTTAAAAATCCACCCAGATAAGTTTTGATCAACATGTTTTGTCAGGCTGAACAACTATTTAATAATGTTTTAATTACTCCTGTAAAATTATGGATTCATATTATTTTAATGTATCTGAAAATTAGTCATGTTTTTACACATTTACTTATTCGACACATTTCATCTCAGATTGCCAGTTCTGGATCTGTTCTGGTGAAAGAGCAAACATCTTCTTGTCTTTTAGTTTGAAAAATAAAGCACAAACAAAACTGCTAAATTAAAAAGCATCCAACATGTCGTTGAACACAAACAGCAGACATGTGATCTGTGTGACTTCTACATTTGGAACCTGAATGCTATCCATCCATGTTTACCTGCTTCTTCCTTTTTTCGGTGGTGGGGTCACTGGTGCCATATCCAGCTATCACTGTGTGGGAGGCAAGGGACACCCTGGACAGGTCTCCAGTCCATCACAGGGACACATAGAGACAAACAAGACAACCATTCACTCTCTCTCACACACACCTAGGGACAATTTAGAGTAATCTATCAGCCTAACATGCATGTTTTTAGTCTGTGGGAGGAAACCGGAGTACCTGGACAAAACGGAGAAAACATGCAAACTCCACCCAGAAAGGCCACAGGACTGGGATTTGAACTGGGGCAACATGCTCACTGAGAGGCAGCAGTTCTACCAACTGCACCACCGTGCCACCCCAAACTTAAATGCCAATCTATAAAATAAAAATACTGATAAACAGCAACACTGATGGTTTAGTGTGTTTTATTGTATAAGGTGAGAAAGTATCTGTGTTCAGTTTTAAAGTCACACAGAATTTATATGTGGATATTGACAAAAGAGCCAGAAAGGTACATTCAGTAGCTTAATAGAATTCAATACAAGAGGGAGTGGTGGTGTAGAGGTTAGAGAAGGTGGGTCTGTGATCGGAAGATCATCGGTTCAACTCCCTGTACCGACAACATCAAAATGTGAGTGGAACTGGTGAAGCACCAACACTTGTCTCCACCCTCATTTGCCCCACTTTGTGCTCTTGAGCAAGGCCCTAAATGCCACCATCTGCTCCCCCGGGCGCCCTAGATAGCAGCTCTCTGCTCCTCACAGAGGGCTGTGGTAGCTCGGTGGTCTGTGGTTGCGTCAGGAAGGACATCCGGTGGCCACCCCTGATCAAGGGAGCAGCCGAAAGAAGAAGAAAAACAAATAGAATTCAACACAATTCAGTCCAACATCTGTATCTTTTTTCCTCATCTGTTCAAAAAGCATGGATTTTTTTCCCACCAGTATTATAAGATAATCTGATAGGAAATCTTAAATTAAAGGGAGGAAACACACAAAATACTTTTATTAAAGTGCATTTTTGAGTTCAACAAAAGCCCTTGTGTGTTTACCCGCTTAAAAACAAACCAAACCCTACAACAAAAGCCCTTGCACAGCCTTTGACTTGTGAAAGTCAGCACTTTTTGCAGATTAAAGCTCCTCACCTTGTGACCTGCAGGAGTGTCTTACTGATCTATCAACACAAGATGTTAAATTTCCAGTAAAACATTTCAGATCCTGTCTGATTAGAAATGATCTTTTATTGCCATCTGAACACACTCAGGTTGCAGCAACTTTTGTGTACAATGACGCCTTACCGGGCTTCAAGTGGGTCATTGTCAAAAAGATGAAAAGCAGAAGTAGAACACTGGTTTATATCACGTAAACAGATAAAACACAGAGGTGGCATTTTTACTCTGAAACCTGCAAGTTCTACGCAAACTGCTGAATGTTTTTCAGTTCGGGTTTTGTTCGAGGGGTTTTTTTTTTTTGCAGAAACTTCCCTAAAAGTATTTTTTTATGCTTACTTGATGTAAAAAACAAAAACAAAAAAAACAAACAATTGATTGTTCGTTTAATTTAATATATTTTCTGTAAAGGATTATTTAAAGTGTTTACAAATTCAAATGACATGCAAACAGAAAAACAGGGTGGACATGATTTATTATGCAAATTAATTATTGCTTTAAATATATATAAAACATTGTCTGTTAGTGTAAATAATTTAATGTAGCCCTTTCAAGTATGATTCACTTATATGCTATGAATACATATATTTTAATAAAGCTTAAAATCATTTTAAAATGACTTGTTTTTATATGTAAATTAAAGTGCACATGCCACACAGCTCAATTTATTTAGTGTCCGCTCACAACAAAGTGATGTCAGGACACTTTGCAAAAGAACAAACAAAACATTTACATCAAATAAGATAAAAATGAAGTGAATATTACCATCACATCAGGTTTACCAAGTGCCTTTGTCTATAGCAGCGTAACTAAAGGCATGGCTCCATCACATCAGCCTCTAACCTCTAGCAAAAAGAAATGCTAATAAGCCTGATGTCTGCATCTCTAATAAAAAAAGAGAAGCTGGTTCTGCAGTAAAAGTACCTGATAGCTGAAAGCGTTGCTTCTCATTTTACATTTAGACACACTATAGACCACAAGTAAACCTGCAGTCTGAAACTGAAATACTGTGTTAAAAATGATAAAACTATGAGTTAAACAAGATAAGCTGAAGCTGGGTGATGAATTGGGAGCAGTTTTATTTTATTTTATTCTAAAGATTTATAGTAGAAGTAACAAACACCCACATTTTTCTGCATCACACAGGAAAAGGATGTTTGAATTCTGACATTATTTAGGTGGAAGAAAGAAGTCCAAGTACCAAATTTGTTTTGTGTGGGAGTTAAAGGACATAACCTGGTCAAAACATTTTCACACAAGTTCCAGAGGCCATGCCATTCAGGGTAGCAGATTAGTGTTTCCAAAGACAATAATTTTAGTTTTGTATGTTCCTCTCCTCCCAGTGTTGTAGTCTATGTGATACTTAGAGTATATCCACTAGAAAAGCTTGGTAATTTCAGTATATCCACTTGAAAGTGTCCAATGATACGAGCCCATGTCATGTATAATTGGCAATGATACATGACATGGGCTTGTATCACTGTCAACACATCTGGAGCATTTTATAGACACATTGAGTTGGTTCAAGCTGTTTTTTTGTATAATTAATACTTCTGTACGTAATACTTGAACATGTTTTGCTTTGATACTGTTTTATAATTTCTAGAACATGTTTTTCATACAAAGCCAACTCTTGCACAAAGTTTGTTGTGCGTTTATTCAAATAAAAGCATCAGGCACATTTTGAAATGTTCAATACGCTTAAAAAAATCAAAATAAATTGATGATTACCGTGTACTAACTGGTGTATTTTGGTGTCTAAGCACAGTATACACACTACAAACATGTAGAATACACCACTCCTCCCTAATGCACACCTCCACTCATGCTTACTTCAATCTTTTCCTCTCCAGATGGAAGACTTGGAGAATGTAACTTTGGACTTCTACAGTTGGCCTACAGATGATCCAAATGAAGAGCTCTGCAACCTCAACCCTCACCCAACAGAAGTCCTTTCCCAAACCTACATCCACTCCATCATCTGCGCCTTTGGCTTGATCGGCAATGTTCTTGTGATGATCACCTACGGCTTCTACAAGAGAACCAAGACAATGACAGATGTTTACCTCTTTAATGTGGCTGTGGCCGACCTGATTTTTGTAGTGGCTCTGCCTCTCATTATCTACAACGAGCAGAATAAGTGGTCCATGGGTTTTGTGGCCTGTAAGGTTCTTCGTTCAGCATACAACATCAACCTGTACAGCGGCATGCTGCTGCTCGCATGCATCAGCGGCGATCGATACGTTGCTATTGTTCATGCCAGACGCTCGTTCGGGTCTCGCTCTCACGCTTTGACATACAGCCGTCTGATCTGCTCAGCTGTCTGGGTGTTTGCAGTGGCTTTGACTCTGCCGACACTCATCTACACAGAGCGCTCTAAAGAAATCAACTATGATTTCCCTGAAGAACAGAACTATACAAAGTTCATTGATGAGCCTGTCTCGATGGGTCCAGCTTTCACTGTGACGTGCCAGCTCTCATTCAATGACAACAACATGGCTAAGCTAATGAAGGTGATGGTGCCCAGCCTCCAAATGGCCATTGGATTCTTTTTTCCTTTCTTGGTGATGCTGTTCTGCTACTCGTGCATCGTGCACACCTTGCTGAAAGCGAGCAGCAGCCAGAGGCACAAGGCCGTCCGGGTTGTCATTGCAGTCGTTGCGGTTTTCATCGTTTGCCACTTCCCATACAACGTGACTCTGCTTATTCACACCACATCTCTTTTTAAGGAGAGAAGCTGCACAGCAGAACAACTGAAACTCCAAGTTCTGGCTGCTTCCAGGACTGTGGCCTACCTGCACTGCTGCCTCAACCCCATCCTCTACGCCTTCATCGGAGTGAAGTTCAGGAGCCATTTCAAACAAATACTGTCAGACTTTTGGTGCTTTAGCAAGAAGTACATCTACTCCGTTCGCTCGTCACGTGGGACATCTGACATCTGCATCTCAGGTCTTAGGACCTCAGAGGGCTCAAACAACGTGTCGTCTTTTAGTGCATGATGTAGTTCTTTATAAAGCGCTTTTAACTCATTTTCAAACTGCTTATATTTTTTTCCTCATGCTTAAACTACTGTAATACCATTCCTAACCATGCAGTATGAAAGTCACTTCATGTAGAATAAACATTAGTTGCTTTTATTTCATTGCAAGATTGTAAACTAACAAATGTAAGCAATATATTTATATTTACTAAAAATATGTCAAAAATGTATTTTTTTCATTGTGTACCCAGTTGCTCTGCATAAATACAGAAATCCTGACAAAGCTGAATATGTTGTTAGCGTTGCTTGCAGAGCACCCACATGTAAATAAAAACAAGCCAAAACTATTTGTTTAAAAAAAGGTTTTATTTGATTTTAATGCACATTTTATTTCAGGAACTATTTTTTGAGAGCTATATTTACTTGGCTGAATTATCCAAAGGACCAATTGGAACATGGACACAGTGTGGTTTCTGCATCTATCACACTATACATTATATTAAACTTGACCTGTTTTAGGTTGGTCGACATCAATCGGGTAGTTTTGGTTTGGGATTTGTGGATGCTTGAATGCTTTGTAAAAATATTTGGATCATTGACTAGTTATTAAACACACAAAAAAATGAATTAAGGATTAAAAAAATTAAGATTAAGCATCAAAAGAGTGATGTTTACTACATTTTCTGATTTCCTCAGCACCTCTAAATGCTGTTCAAAATTTGCTTAATCACATTCATGTTCATTTCAATTAGCCACTCTTCTTAATTTTAAGCATTCTTTATTGCTTAAGCAAAACCTATGTTTAACTAAGGGACCTGCAGATATTAAGGATTTACTGGCAATGAGACATTTTTTCTTTAAAATGTGTGTACCCTCCTAAATTACTTTGTGTATATATGTCCCATTCTCACTCATTTAGAAAATCTAAAGATTAAAGATGAAGATAGTATTTCCTTTTTTTAAACTGTCAAAAAAATGCTGTATTTTTTTATTTGTATTTGAAAACTCAGTATATGCAATACACAATAAACGACAGACATAATGAATGTGAAACAAGCTTATTTCATTCTTGTACTCAATAAACGTTAAACAGATGTGATCAAGTATAATTATTTTGTTTACAGTAAAAAAAAAACCTTCATGGTAAACTTTACCATATTAGAAATAAATAACTTCAAAATGCCCATGTTATCACATGCAACATATTTATGCACAATCTAATGTTTAAACATTGCTGTAAAACTGCACTTGTTATTGCACATGAACATTTATGCAAGCATTAAAATGATGCTTTTTATAGCTTACATTAAATTTACTATTTATTAAATAAATGAGAAAAATCACACGCACACACAAAAAAATGTAAACAAAAATAACAAAATATCATAAATAGACAAATCACAAACAAAAATAAATGGTCGCATTGCGAAGTGTTGTGTTCAGCTCTCACAATAACTTTAATCTGATCTCAACAAGATGCATGTTGAACTTTCCGACAGCTCAGATAAGACATGGAGAAAGCAGAAGTGCAGCAGTTCAGTGAAGTTTCAGGTCATGGCTTCTTATTGTGTGTGTTCAGATACAATCAACTTTTCACTGCGTGCCGCGGTGCACCTTTCTCCTGTGGGTCACACGGTTACTTGAAGGAGATAAAAACAATAAAGATAGATAACAAAAGAGGGAAGGTAAACTTTAATTAGAAGAGCTGAGACTGATTAATTCAGACTCAAATTGGCACGTGTGGGTACTTCCACTGAACAACCACACAACTCTGTGGTTTAGATTTTCCTTCGAACAGGTGTTTACTATGTTAATACTGTCAAACATAAATGAACACCATCAGCAAATCAAATTAAAAAGGAAAACCATGATATGTCTGCAACATTTCTCCCTTTTCATCCACTGGAGGTCCTCAGTTCTTTACATCTTCAAGCAGAGTTGGAACTCTTTCCTTCACAGAAACCCTAAACTTTTCTGGAAACTTGAATGAATTAGCTCTATCACTTAGAAAAATTTCCTCTATTTTTTTCCACATCTTGAATTGCTAGCTCAAGCATGAATTTTTCCACACTTTTCCAAACATTTCCAGGCGTTTCTAGTTACTTTAAGCCCAGATGAACTGGGATAAGCTGCATGCAAACCATAAAACACACCACAGACTTTATTTATTTTTTACAATTATGACACATGAAGTTCTGACACTGAGAGCAACATATCTAACACTGAACTCAGAAGCATGGGAGCTGTTCTCCAAAGCTCTCCAGAAATATATTTATTAGGCAA